AAAACGACAGTTTTTGGAAAGTTTTTGCCTTATATTTTCACCTTGGATAACAAATTTGCATGTTTGATAAAAGCAAACTACTTCTACAGAATACAATTTTAAATCTAGATAAAATAGACATATTAATTGAAATTATGATTATAGTTCATTTTAATTCAGAAAAGTCCAATTATAAAATATGAAAGAACATTTTCTGCGCTGAACAAATATATTAATATATGTATTTCTAGTCATTATAACAATGAAGATGAAAAAGATGAAATAAAAATCTTTATTATTTCTAGACCTCAGCAGTTTTTAATTTTAATCCTTGTAAGTGTATAACTCAGATTAGACATTTTCAGGCTTAACCCTTCAACGGCTGGGGGGGGGGTTTGNAGGGAGCTTAGGGGGGGGGGTTGAAATGTATTTAGGTTTTTTTTACTAATTCAAGAAATATTTAAATACTAGCTTTGGAACCCTGCGTTGCCCAGGGTGCTCAAAGTTACTCCCGCCGTTTAACCGTACTTGGTCGATTTTTACCGGGAACCAAATTTTCAAAAATTAAAGTCGACAAACTCAAGTTAGAATCTCAAGAATGCAAGCTAAGAACATTTTCGTGGCTCTTCCGAGTTCCCCATCAAAATATGAGGAAAGTCGGTTCAGGGGTTCCTGAGTTATGATCGGACAAATTACAACATTATATATATAGTTATATAGAAGACACTACAAATGTGAACGTACTGCAAACAATAATTCAAAAAGTGTTTACATTTTTAAACAAAAAAATGAATCACAATCTTTTAACCAGAAAAAAATATTATTTGTAAAGTTTAAAGAACTGTTCGACCACCACCTTAGCGATTAAAGTGGCTTTTAATTTCGACAAATTCAAACAATGTAATTTTATATTTTAATAAATACAGGCTAAACTAGAAGTTCTAAAGCCAACTTTTTAATTATATTTTCACTTTCAGTTCTCTACTTTAACTTTAGTAGTTTAGTAGTTTAGGCCTCGAGGTATGTTTTCATTTTAGATTAATATATCTTTCTGTTCTCATTGTACTATCAAGTTTTATTCAAGCATTTATTTTAAAAATCCTTGGAACTTATACATGCTGATCAATTGTGTACTGTGCAATGGTTTGTTTATTTGTACTCAATACTGAACTCAACTGTTCGGGCTAAAATTAGATGAAGTTGAAATTAAAAATATTTTCTTCGAAAAATTTTGTTTTTAAAATTCTAGAAGTTGAACAGAGTAATCCGCAAAAATTGTTTTTAATGGAGTAGATACAATAAAAAAATGTTTTTAATGGAGTAGATACAATAAAAAATGTTTTTATTGGAGTAGATACAATAAAAAAAATGTTTTCAATAGAGTAGATACAATAAAAAAATGTTTTTAACGGAGTAGATACAATAAAAAAATGTTTTTAACTGAGTAGATACAATAAAAAATGTTTTTAATGGAGTAGATACAATAAAAAAATGGCTGCTTAAAAATCAACAGTTATAAGATAAACAGAATTACATAAAATGAGGTAGAAAGCCCCCTGAAAGCTTTTTGTTATGTTCACTATTTTCTTAAATCCCTCGTTTTGGTGGAGAATTCTGTTTTCCAATATATATTTTATATATATATCAATAGTTCTGACCTAAGGATGAAAGAGTTCAGATTTTACTTTACCATAAATGGATCCATATTTTCTAGACAAAGATATCTCAACCAATAGTTCTAACCTGAGGATGAAAGGGTTCAGATTTTAGTTTAACAATAATGGATCCATATTTTCTAGACACTTTAAATCTCAGTTGATCAATTTAATCTTTTGCAACGACTTTATTACTCCTCTAGTTTTGTTGCACAAGTATGAAAAATCTATCTGTTACATGTTAAAAAATTCAAAACATTTCTGTTCTTCTGAATAGCTCTTTATTAAGAGAAGTTATGATTGAAAACATAAACGATTTAATTCTCGTACGTGTCATTTACTTTACGTTATATAACAGTCAGTATCTTATTTCGTTTGAAGATAACTCAAACATTTATATATTTAGATTTGTTTATATTTCAAATACGAAATCTGGTTGCAAAGATATGGGGATTCGAAAATCTCAATGGCAAAAACTCAATTCCTTTGTTTCTTAAAAAAGCAATGTACTCTTGTTCTAAACTTAAAATATGGATGTTGACAAAATTACTTGAATTAAGAGAGAAAGGTAAAAGTTTAAGTTTTATTAACGGAGGGAGCTTACACCTGTCAAAAGTTTGCTTCGTCCTATTCCCCTAAGTCAGGATATTTTAGTTGAAATATATCTAATACTAGCTAAAGTGCTCGGCCCAGGTTACTCATAGTTACTCACGCCGTTTACCCGCACAGTGCTCCGCCCAGGTTACTCATAGTTACTCACGCCGTTTACCCACACAATGCTTTGCCCAGTTTACTCATAGTTACTCACGCCGTTTACCCGCACAGTGCTCGGCCCAGTTTACTCTATAGTTACTCACGCCGTTTACCCACACAGTGCTCGGCCCAAGTTACTCTAGAGTTACTCACGCCGTTTACCCACGCAGTGCTCGGCCCAGTTTACTCATAGTTACTCACGCCGTTTACCCGCACTTGGTCTAAAATTACGATCTAAGCTGAATTGCAAACTTTATTCACAGTCTAAAAAATGTAAAATTTTATCTTACAAAATTTGCTGTTCTTAATCCTGTGCATAAAATCAGAACTAGTGGAGCAACGGAGTCACAAAGTTGCAATGGTAAAGTCAATTGAATTGACCTAATTCTACTGCAGTTAGTTTGCAGTGCCTGAACCAAATTCAACTTAGTAGCATTATTCTTCAATTTTGTTTGATGAAATTTATTATTCATCAACATTTAAAGACTCGAGTTACCAAGTTGAATTTTTGCATTAAAAACTAATATTTTTTTATTTTTTTTATTCCAACTAAATGGCACAACGGAATGGCCAAAATAAATTTTTTTATAGTAACTTTAATCTGACTGTTTTAATACTTATGAACAGTTGATGGTGTGAATTAAATACTTATGAACAGTTCATGGTGTGAATTAAATACTTATGAACAGTTGATGGTGTGAATTAAATACTTATGAACAGTTGATGGTGTGAATTAAATACTTATGAACAGTTGATGGTGTGAATTAAATACTTATGAACAGTTCATGGTGTGAATTAAATACTTATGAACAGTTCATGGTGTGAATTAAATACTTATGAACAGTTGATGGTGTGAATTAAATACTTATGAACAGTTGATGGTGTGAATTAAATACTTATGAACAGTTCATGGTGTTAATTAAATACTTATGAACAGTTCATGGTGTGAATTAAATACTTATGAACAGTTCATGGTGTGAATTAAATACTTATGAACAGTTCATGGTGTGAATTAAATACTTATGAACAGTTCATGGTGTGATTTAAAGGTAAGTTATTTAAACTTAATAAAAGAACTCTCAGCAAAAAGGAAAAGAAAAGTTTTTTGTTGTTGAAAATTCAATTTAAACTTTTTTACAATTAAATAATAGAAATTGCTCAAGAGAATATTTTCCAAGAAACTTTATGTGAATTGTGCATTGTCCATACTTTCTTTTATACATTGTGATCTTTTCTAATAAAAAAGGGTTCTGCTGCATTTTTGATTTTCAGATTTAATTATTATATAAATCTAAATTTACAACCAAGCGCGTGTAAACGGCAGGAGTAGCAATGAACATCCATGGCAACGCTGAGTTTTTAAGCTCACAGTCTCATAAATTTTTATGACAGAGTAGATTTGGAAGTGTCACAACACCTTTGGCTTAGATTTACCGCTCTAATTCACTTATGCTTGTCTGTAGCCCTTGTACAGTACATACATGTACATTTTAGCCAAAGAGAATAGAATATAAATTAGAGAGGAATTTACTAGAAAAAAGTGTAAAACGGCCATTTTGTTGTACTGTTTCCATACTGCAGGTGTACTTCACGTATTTATGCTATATAACCTGTTGGGCCCTGGAATATCATTTTATAGAAAATCTAAAATTAATATTAAAGGAAAACCAAATTATGAAATAGTCTGGTTTCATAATTGACCAATGATCATTTCACATAGACTCTATGCCTTTCACTTTACAAACGATGATTTTCCGTTATAACTATGAATCAAATACTGTTTTTTATTCATCTAATTCATTATAAAGTTTATTTAAAAGCTTTAAAAAATTAGAAATTTAAATGGATAGGCTAGGGAACATACTGTATTAATGTACTCTACTGCATATAATATTCTATTCTCTTTGATTTTAGCACTATAAAACAATTGTTTAAATTTAATTTTAAATCACAGTGATATATATATAATATATGCATACCTATATATATATTTAAATATAAAAAGAGAGTGAGAGAGAGAGAGAGAGAGACGTTTAAAACTTAAGGATTTAAGTTTAGCACTCAGTAATCTTGTCCCCTTCCTGATGGTTCATCCATTTAGACGTTGAATACCTTATTTCTTCCATGAACAATGTTTATTTAACATTTTAGTTGTTAAACCCTTAATTTAATAGTTTCTCTAGTGGAAATTGGGATCAAGCAGTACAGCTACAAAAGTTTTCACATCAGGGTTCGGACTATTTTCACCGTTACATTTCATAGTATTATTAGGAGCATTATTTCACAGTTAAAGATAACTCTCTTTTACTGATTTTAATTAAAATTTCAAATACTACTCAAGTCTAGAACACTCGTTTTAGATGTGCGTATATCTTTGGATTATCAAGAAGAGTTTTCTTTTTAGTGTTATACATTTTCAGGAGATAATAATTTTTATAACTACTTTACAGGGAATTTAACTTTGGCAAGGGTTGCCAAGAGAAATTTTGCCTACAAAACATCCAGCGCGCAGCGAGGGATGTTTTGTGGGCAAAATTGGTCGAGGGCACCCGTGGTTAAGTAAACATTTTAATTTCCCAAAAAAGTAGTTATGAACAATTTTATTGTCTTTTCAGATGAAAATGCGCGAATCTTTCACGAAAACATCGCAGAGCGGGTAATTATTTTACTTAATTGTGCCAAGGGACGTAAAATAACTTACGTCTCCCTCTTGGGGGAATTATTGGTATGTTAATTAGAAGGCAGTAAATTATTCAAAAATGACAAACTAGGTGAAAGGTTTATAAAGATTACATCAAAAATCTAAATTTTTCTAAAAAGACTTAAAATGTTGTAAAACGTAGGATTAACATTTTTCTTGGTTTTTTTTTAATCTAAATTCATGCAAACTATTTTCATTTAAAGCAAAATATGCTAGAATAAAACCTTTATACAGCATTCAGGATACAGGCTACATAATACAGGATACAGAAAGAATACAGGATACAGGATACAGGGTATATGATAAAGAATAAAGGATACATGATATATGATAATATATGATATGATAGGATAATGTATACATGATGCATGATAAGATACAGGATATACAATATATGATACAGGAGACAGGATACATAATACATGATACATGATATAGATTATAAATACATGATACAGAATATAGGATACAATCATAATTCATGGATTCAGACCCCCCCCCTCCCGGCCTTTTTTGATGAAAAATTATATTTTTAAATATATATTATGGTTATTGTTATAACTTCTTGTCCATTAATACTGAATATATTTGATATATTTCCGTACAAATATAATAAGTAGAACATATGCTAGTTCTCATGGATAAAGGGGGAACACAGATTTTTCTGTACAAGAATAAAACCAGGCAGGTAACAACTATTTATATGCCTGACTAAATTAAGACTTGTAGCATTTATCCTGAAATTGTAAAAAAAAGCTTTGATTCCAAGCTTGCACAGTCCTAAAGTTTTCGTTAATCATAACCTTCCGATGAAGTTTTGGAAAAAAGTAGTATTTCAAATAATTTTTAACAATCGTTTTTATATTAGATAAATTCATTAATGCAAACGAGTTGCACAAATTATTTCTAATATATTCGAATACCAGTAAATTTGAAAATATTCGTTGTAATAGTTCAATGATTTACCCTTTGAGTGGTATGATGCATCTTTTAGAATTTACATTTTGGGAAACCATTTTCTCATTGACGCTACAGATAGATAGAAAAATCCAATTTTGATTTTGATTCAGGTCATATCCGCTTATATTTTTTTCCGAACACCCATTTAAACATGTTTTACTGAAATTGATAAACATATCTTTCTTTTTGTGAATTTAGCTTCTTTTGTGTTGAGTAAAAATTTTAAAATGATTAACCCCTTACAAGCCTTTAATTTCAAATCTGAAACCAATCATGTGTCTATACAACTCTTCTATTTTTTTAACCCATTATAGTGTACTGCCTAAATTTGTTTCGTCAACAATTGACGAAGGAGAGAAAAAAATGAATAATCCCAGAAATCTAAAACTTCCTACCTCAACACTCAACGGCGACACAGGTCTCGTAAGTTCGTAACTCCCGGGGAACTGCAGTTCAGATGAAGTCGATCGTCATTTTCGCTGCAAAATATTCTAAACTACAAAACTACGAAAAGTACGTTATAGTACTAAAATTATAACAGTTACTACTTAAAAACATATATACAAAAATGCAATCCATGTCCATCAGGAGACCCCATTCATGTTCAACAAAGATCATGAAAACCCTGTTCTCAATCTACAGCTTCTTACTGTAGTGAACCTCTGTCCTTTGAACAACTGGCAGAACTCAAGCATATATCATTTAATTCTGAAATGAACCAAGACTTGAATAACACGATCTAACTAACTTTGCGCGAGAAAATATGGTTCAACTTTCTTGAAACCATGAATCAACAGAATGACATATAATGTCAAAATAAAATAATACCAAACTAGAAAACCGCGCCAATCAGCTGCGGAAAGTTCCAACTCCATTCCTCTGTCTGGAAACGGTTTGGTTTGGCTCAGATACCTCTTCCGGTCCCTGGATTCTCCTGTAATCCACAAAACAAAATTGCCTGGCGCTGCCCAGGTTACTCATAGTTACTCCCGCCAAGCGCCACGCCGTTTACCTGCAATTGGTCAATTTTATCGGGAAACTAAATTTTTGATATAAAAGTCTATTCAAACAAACATTTTACTATTTTACATAAAAAGATACTGTATAGTGTGAAGAGAAAAATATATACAATTTGTTCACCCTAAGTCAAGCTTTAAAACTTGCATATAAAAGTTTATGCTGCGGACATCAAATTTAGTCGATGTTGATATGGTGCTCTCTCAACCAAAAGCTAAATGCCTCTGTGTAAATATTATACATAATGTTGTGAGCTAGCTGTAAATTCATATTTAGCAGAAATGTTTTTTTTTTCTGAAATTAAAATGATTGTTTAAAAACAATATATCAGAGCCATTTATCATATTTTTAATAGCTATTTTACAAAAAACTGTTTTCTGCCCGTTCGTCTGTTGTTCATAACAAGTTTTTATTTTAATTTTAGGGGAGCGCTTCCGCCCATTCCGCTAGTTCCGCCTAGGTTGAGATTGTTTCAATTTTTGTAGAACAAGCTATAAAGTTTCTATTATTCAGGTAGCTATTAGTAAAGTTCAAATTCTCAACAAAACTTTTAATTAAATCTCAGAAATATTTAATAAGGGGATTGCTTAAACAAATAAAACTGACATAGTTCTTCACTATCTATGTAAAGAGATGAACAATTATATTTTCTAACAGCTTAGAAATTAAATAAATCTGGCAACAAAGTTTACTCTTAAACTTTGTTAATAATTTTTCCAGTAAGAGGAAAGAATTTCTGAAAATATATATAATTAAGATTTACCTTAAAAGTTCTTGCTAAAAGTGTGAATTTAGTTTTTCCAATACTCAATGTAAGTTTATATATAATCAAGATATAAATGTATTTGAAATGAGATCATTTATCCAGTGTCCGGAAAAATATTAAAGAAACAACCGACGCAATTGCAATGAAATTGAGAGAATAGTTTAAAATAAGAATCATTGTTTAAATCCTGAGATCCGTGGTGTTGTGTAATTTATTTAATGGTTCTCAATAATTTGTTAAATGTTGTTGTAACGCGGTTTTGAAAATTGAGAACAGTCCCTTAGCGAATTTTGTAAGGTTAGAGCAATCCCATAATTAGCTTGATTAAATTCGTGATTTGGTTCTGAATAATAATATTCTCAATATTTTTTACATATTCTGTTTGTTTACAACTTTAAACCAGTTTGCACTAAATTCTGTGCAGTACTCTTGGCCATCTGGTCTCACTACCAGGTTAGAAAGATTGAGCAAATTTTTCCACCTAAAGTCAAATTGGTTAAAATTGTTAATATATTTTAATTAATAATTTGGAATTCTTTCATTTTTTAGTTGGATTTAGTTTGTGAAATCGGCGGATCTGAGGTAGAATTTTATATTAAAGGCTCTATTTACGGCTTTATTTACAAGTGAAATCTTTTTAAACAGTGAAATAGTTATTAACCCATTGATGCCAAAAGCGTCGTTTTTTGATCCGGTCTAAAACTTTTAAATTTGGAAGATTTTCTTGTTTCTTTAAACTTTTTTCAATATTCTTATTAAACTAAATTCTTATTTGAGCAGTGCATATTGGGTTATATTTTATCTTTTTGTTCTTGCACTTTATATACTTTTAATTTAGCAAGCGTGCATTGTGGTTTATATCGGTTCAGCAGTATCCTTAAGCAAACTTATTGCTATCCTTAAGCAAACTTATTGCTCAAGACCCTGCTGGATCTACCCTAGCTCTGTTCAACCCCGATCAGCGAAACAAGTAAGGATAAACTTTTTATTCTCTGCCAAGTAATGCATTTAATGCAACTGATTGCTGTAATAGAAGCAAAATAGAGTTAAATTGCTCAGTTCGGACTAGTTCCTTTTAACCGTTTTATTGGCAAGATTATTGCTCCAATAAAGTAAAAGCAAACTTATTGCCATAAACTAAGTTTAATTGCTGATTTAGTGTGTAATTGGATAACACACAATTATTGCTATTTAATAGCAATTAAGTCCATGACTGATAATTCATGGGATAATAGGGTGATTGTCATGAATTAGAATTCCCTAACATTTATCTAGACTGAATACAAATAGTCTACAGAGTCCTAAAGAGATACTTTTCACTTAAATTGCTGAGAAGCTAAGCAAAAAGCACATTTAGTGCTTTTATTGATAAACAATAACAGAAGTCTAATCTTAGGTTAGCCATCATTGCTAATACATGAGTCTAACCCTGTGTTGGGTTAAGCATGTATTGCTTAACTGCCAACATTGCTAATATAGCAACGTTATTGCTCAAATTTGCTACATACACTAACATTATGTTTATTTAGTTTTTGAAACCGCTGTGCTGTTATCAATCTGTGAACTGATCGGAACCCTTTCTAAGAAGATTGTATTTATTAATAAAGATTTACGTTACTTAACCTTGTCATTTATTTATTATCGGGAATAGATGGCAATTCTCTAAAACTGCGCAACACGTGGCTGGTATTGATATGTCTATATTTAAAAAAAAAATCTCATTATAGAATATGCTAGGTTGTTTCAGAGATATTTAAGACTATTTTTTATCAGAATCCCAAAATGTGCGGATTATAGTTCTATCTAGACGATCTGGAGGGATTAAGAATACAAAAAAATCTCCAATTGTATTTGTATTTGGCAGCAAAAACATAAGGTGAGGGGCGGGGTGCTTTTCAATTGAATGACATCAAACTTAAAGGGTTCTAGGGAGGTTTAGAAAAGTTTGCAAGAAAAACTAATTTGGACAAATGTTAAGTAACACATTTGTTAAAAATCTTGTTAGATATGTGAATTGTAGATCTAAGTATTTTTTTGTAAAAAAAGTAAAAAAATATTTATTTATTTAATATAACAAAACATTCAAAATTAAGTGTTTCAGGAGAAAATATTTAAAAACCTCTAAAAGTAGAGGTTGTGGGAAAATTTCCCCCCAATCCTAAAAAAAATACAAAAATATAAATAAAAGGAAAAGGAAAGGATAACGAAAGTTACATATTCATTGTTTACACTATATTTAATATAAATTGGTGGTGGATTGTTAGTATTTTTCGACGATGAACTAACAACTTTTACAAATAAAAATGATAGATTTACTTGTAATGTTAAAAAAAAGTAAAGCTTTACAGAGTGTAAAAGAGATATAGGTTCTATGAAAAATGGGAATTTTTAAGCATCTTTTTAATTCGCGCTAATTTTTGACATCCTTTTTGTTTGATTATATCTTTTATTCTTTTTAATCTTTTTATTCTCTTCTTTGTAAAGTCTTTGCTTTCTTCGATTCTTTTGCAAACATAGCATGTGTTGGAATTAAAACATTTGTTCTGCTGATAAAATCTTCTATTAAATTCTGATAAAAATTCGAAATAAGATTGATAGTTGAAAGCTTAGAAAAGTGTCGTTTATTTTCATACCATATTTTACTGAAATTGTGAGGGGGGAGCAGTCCAATTTTAATAGATTTTATTCTAGGAATAAAAATCATTTCTGTTTCTAAGATTTGCGTTTTTGATCTTTTTTAAATGTTGGGGGTAATTGATCTCCTTTCAATTGAAATAAAAATTTTATAACATTAAAAATTCCTAATTTTCTGAAGGGGAGTATGCTTAAAGCCCAAAAAGCTTCTGCTGTGTGACTTATTCTAAGTAACCCCATCAAAAGACGGATAGCTTTCTTTTGCAATGATCTTATCAATATTTTTGTTTGAAGTTATCATTCGAGTGTTGAACTAAATTCTAAATAATAGTGGAATATGGAGTAATAGAGCAATTTCATGGTTAATATTTTTTTTTTTCATATCATGAAGTGAAAAATTTAACCGCATGTATATCTTTTTAAAATAGTCATAAAAGTTCAATTTTGTATCCAGCCATATTCCCAAGAATCTAACTGAATCTGTTTCTTTTATTTTTCAATTTTTCGTGTAGATTCTCCTTATTCAAAGAAAGCATCAGGACAGTCGTTTTGTGCATTTAGAGAATTTGAAAATAAAATTGCATCAGTTTTCTCAATGTTAATAGTAAGTTTATTAAACATGTACTAACAAGTTATTTTTTCTAATTCTATTTATTGTGTCTGCAAGAGTATTCAAGAGTCATTTACATAGATAATAAACAGTAAACAGCTTAGACTTGATCATTAAACAAGACCCTTCTCTAATATTTAAAATAGGTCTGAGAAAGTACCATTTATATCGACTTTTTGCCCCCTGCCACGTAAGTAAGATTCAAACCATTGTAATGTGTTTTCCCTAATTCCTGCGTTTTCAAGCTTTTGTAGAAGTATCTTGTAATCAATCAATACAGTCGTAAGCTTTAGAAATATCTAGCATGACAAGTAAAACAGATTCATTATTATTTAGTGCGCTGAAAACATACTTTAAAAGTTTAGTAATGCAGTTATTATTTTAACATTTTGCAATGTTCAAACTATTGCATGTGTTTAGCAGTATAAAATAATATTGCAAAAATATAAGAAATGATGGAATCTTCAAACTATTGCATGTGTTTAGCAGTATAAAATAATATTGCAAAAATATAAGAAATGCTGGATGGAAAATATTATGAGAATCCTACAAATGTTAAACATCAAAGTTTGTCAGATCTGAGTAGACATGTATTTAATAAATTGTTAGAAATATTAATTTTAAAGTGAGTGTTCATGAAAAATGAAAGGGGGAATAAGATTACGGCGAAAAAATATAGATGGTTATCGCTACTAAAATTGATTTTTTAACGATCTGAGTAGAATGTTGCTTCTTCCTGAATTTTTATGAGCTGTTTTTAATAATTTTCTCCTTATATAGACGCAACAGATAGAAGTAAGATATGTAGCGATCACCATTGATAATTTTTCACTGTCAGCCTTTACCCCCTTTCATTTTTCGCGACAGGTTTCCTCTATTTCTATTCTTTGTAGAGTCATAAAAACAATGATTAATTTCACATATCACCTTCTTATATTGGCGGAATTTTAACAGTTAAAACAATTTCTAGTTTTTAAAACATTTTCATGTAACTTTTACACGGCTATATAACCTTCTCTGGGACCTTGTAGAGTTTTCCTCCCCAAAGTTGATGTTTATTTGATACAAACAAACAAACAAACAAAGAAGATGTCAGACAAGCTAAATTTAGATAAGGAATATGATATCTACTCGGTTTTTATACTTTTCTTTAACATGGTGGATAGTTTCCCCCCACTCAGATGCTGATTTTATTCACGAGCATTTACATTCTTAAACCTATAAAAAGATCTATACCAAACATTACGTTTATTATAGTGAGGAAATTAAAAATTATTGATATAGAACTGAGATTAGTCTCCTTCCTTTCTGCCTGCACGGTAAATCAAATTTCAAGAATTGTGTTGCTTGGGATCAAGCATTGATTACAATTGATTTCAATTGAGGGATCAAGCATTGATTACAATTGATTTCTTTTTTTTCAGATCTAGATATTTATTATCTCCGTATCGAGATTATATTAATTGTACAAAATTGTTCACATGTATTTAATACAACTATTTTACGATACTATCGTGTACATATATTCTTAAATTAATTAATAAAAAATCAAACGGATACATTTTATCGTTTTTTCCTGTTACAATTGATGTTACGTTTATATTCAAGTATTGATAAGACTGCATTTCAGGATAAGAAGGAAAAAAAACTACATTATTTATAA